TCATGATCCCAGGGTCCTGGGATCGAGTCCCCACATCAGGCTCCCTGCTCAGTGGGGAGCCTGCTTCTCCCTCTGCCCCTCCCCCCCCCGTTCATGCTCTCTCTGACAAATAAATAAAATATTTTTTAAAAAAGTATGTACATTTTTTAGACATAATGCTATTGCACACTTAGTAGACTACAGTATAGTGTGAACATAACTTTTATATGCCCTGGCAAACCAAGAAGTTCATTTGATTCACTTTATTGTGGTATCCACTTTATCGCTGTGGTCTGGAATGTCTCCACCATCTCTCTGAGGCATCATATATACTTAAGTGTTTGAATTTCATCTTGCAGTTTGTTGCTGTATCTCTTAAATGTGTTTTAAATGATAGATTCCCACTCCATCCCCCCCCTTCCCTTTACCATGTATTTGCTTAAGAATTGTTTATCCTATAGCTTCTCGCTGTCTGGATTTTGCTGATTGTATTTCTATGGTGTTGTTGATCATGTTGCTCTGCCTTTGTTTTCTGTAAACTGGTGGTTGTATCTAAAGGGTTGATCAGATTCTGCATTGGTTGGTTGGTTGGTTTTGGCAAGACTACTTGATATGTGGTGTTAAATGCTTTCAGCCATAAACTCATGCTGTGTAATTATCTCTTACTTTTTGATATTAAAAGTAATTAAGCAATGCCTACATCTGTTAAATCATTAGGGTTTTCAAAATGGCGACATTTCAGTTCTATCTTTGCTTCTTTGTTTATTAATTAATTTAATACTTCTTTCATAAAAACTTCCCTTTATCTACTATTTGGCTCTCCAGTGACATAGTTTCTGTAGAAAGGCAGGATAAATGATTCTTTTCCTTTTTTTTTTCACCTATTTTCAAAATAGTAGTTGGTTCACTAGCACTCGACAGCAATGGCCAGTTAGTTTCAGTCCATCCCAAGTATTATGCTCACCAATACTCAAGTTGTCCCTTTGGCTAATGGGAACCTCTTCAGATTGGCTCGAGTCCTGTTGGCATGGCCCTAAGAGTCTCTGATAACTGTCTTGTTATCTGTTACAACAAAATTTTCCAGGCTTTTCCAGGCTCATTTTGAACATTTCCTGTCTCAGACCCAGACTGAGTCATTTCTTGGAGTCTTGGTTCTGTTCAGTGGGGAGATAGTAATACCAGGTCACTATCTGGGTGCTAGTGGTGCTTATTGCCATTGGCTTGGTTGTTGTTTACAGGCCTGTTCACTGTTCAGAGTCAGGAAATGTGTTGTGTGCTTGATTGTTGTTGTTTTTTTTTAAGATTTTATTTATTGATTTGAGAGAGAGAGATAGCAAGAGAGTGCACGAGTGGGGAAGCAGCAGAGGGAGAGAGGGAGAAGCAGGCTCCCCGCGGAGCAGGGAACCAGATGCGGGGCTGGATCCCACCATGACCTAAGCCGAAGGCAGACGCTCAGCAGATGCTCAGCCGGCTGAGCCACCCAGGCGCCCCATCTCGATTCATTTTTTAAAGGAGATACATTGTGAGTTCATACTCATACTTTCAATTCTTATTTAGCACCACAGAGTTTTTTCTAAATTGCTTTTATCTTATATCTGTATCTCCTTTCCCACCTGCTGAGGATCTCACTTTTCAACAATACCAGCAGTGATAGAATTGGACTATCACATTAGTACTTAATTGTTTTATCCGGGCACTCGCAACAGTCCAATAATAACAGCAACAGCACTCCCATTAATTACTGGAAACACTGCTTTAAAACCTTTTAAGGCTTTTTTTTTTTTTAAGGTTTTTAAGTTCTGGAATTCCCTTTCCTAGCTTGTCTACTTGGAAGCCCACTCTTTATTCTTCAGGACCCACTTCAGATAGCCTGTCTTTGGGGAAGTTTAGATTACTTACTCCTCTATGCTCTCCTACAGCTCTGTATGTTCCTCTGTTAGGGCAAATCTCTTATTCACTGTGACATAGACTGAGAATTCCTAGAGAGTAGAGATTTATTGACCATTATACCTGCAGCATCCAGCAGGCTTTGGGGAAAGCTTGATTTTGAACAAGTGACAGTTGATAGACACGTCACATGCACACATGCTTGGTTCATTTGCCAGGTAACCTGAGCAGTTTTTACTTGTTCATTCATTGAGGGCCTACCCTTGGCTACCATTGGCTGGGTGACTGGGGTGAACAATGGAGATAGGTCCTTACCCTTCCAGATTTTACACCAATTTTCTATCTCAGGCATCAGACTAGAAGGCCCTGCTAAATTAAAGAGAGAATCCTAACTTGGGGAACTTCGGATTGGAACACCCCCAATCAGGCTTGGGTGCAGGGTTGCCACCACAAAGGAGGTGCAGGGCAGGCCTGGGTCACGGTGGGGCCACCCAAGGTGGGGAGCCCGAAGTGGCCAGGAATCGGGTCGCAGGTGGGGAAGAGGCGAGGGAGCTCTGGCTGATGGTGGCGTTATGGACCAAGTCTGGCATAAAGGGCAATTATCTTACTTGCCACCCTGTGGCCTAAGCCCCAGGAATTCCCCTGGGAATTACAAGCTACCTACTGAAAGTTGGCAGCAGGGCAAGGGAAATTTTCTGTCTTGAATCCCTCCTCTAGTCTTGACATTAATTTGGAACAGACAGAGAGATGAGAGAAAAAGAGCATGTTTATGAAAATAAAATCTTTAGTGCCTGCCCTGTGGGCTCGTTTGTCCCTACCTTTATTTAGCATTTCAGAAGCCCGAGCTAATGTTTACCATAAGGCCAAGCAGGACTTCAAGTTCTTCCAGTCCAGCAAATCACAGCATTCATGCTTCTCCAGCCACTTTTCACAGATATATTGTTGGCAACATTTCCCTTTTCTAGAGCTGGGACATTGAGGTAGATACCCCTGCCTTAGCCCCACCTTCCTATTTGTGATCCTGCCCCCTGTGGTAGTAGGAAGCTTGGCACATTCTCTTAGGTTGGAGGCCATTTATTAGGAAATGGCCTCTCTGTGAAATTTCTTAATCCCCGCCCTGGATTTAACTATATCTCTAGCACCTTTTTGTAAATTCCCATCTATTGCAAATCCCCGACTAGGTGTACCAACAGATGATTCAAATTCATTATGTCCAAAACTAAACTCATCTCCCCCACAACCAGGTCCTCCTTATATTTTCCTGTTTCTGTGAATGGCACTACCATCCACACTGCCTCTGACTTCACACTAGGTTAGATTCTGTATTATACTGTCTCAGAGTACCTCACATTTATAATTACATAAGTAATATGTTATGTATTTGTTTACCCTGGAGTTTCCACTGCCAGACTGTGTAATTTCTTGAAAGTTGGGACCATGGGTGCCTTATTCACCTGAACCCA